CGAAGCACCTTCGAAAGAGTGATCGAGTAAGTACTATGAAGCAGTCAAAGTGCGCTTTTCTTTGGAAAATGGGGAATCAGGAGTGCAGTATAAGGGGGGATCTACGACCTCATCTGATAAAGCCAAAAGGCAATTTGATGAAGGAGCTTCTACGGAGTTCTCCAAGATTGCTCTTTTTCATCTTCGCCAATTTCGCTGACTGAATGATGCATAGCCAACATGAAGGGTGGGGAAATAAGCAATGGATCTGCAATTTCTGGTGATTGAAATCCGGAAAATTGTTCCCATCTTGTCCGAAGTACTCGACTGGAACTTGTGTTTTTTAGGAAATTTTACAATTTTGCGGAAAGTATCGAAATAGGATTTCTAGACCACAAATCCTATTTCTCTTTATTTTGCTTCCGCTACGGAGGGGTCGAACATGCTGCCGCCGTCAAGGGCTGCAGCAGCTATTAGTCGTGTCAAGATTTTGTATTTTGCCTACAGAGCNAAGTACTCGACTGGAACTTGTGTTTTTTAGGAAGTTTTACAATTTTGCGGAAAGTATTGAAATAGGATTTCTAGACCACAAATCCTATTTCTCTTTATTTTGCTTCCGCTACGGAGGGGGTCGAACATGCTGCCGCCGTCAAGGGCTGCAGCAGCTATTAGTCGTGTCAAGATTTTGTATTTTGCCTACAGAGCCTGGCACTGATACATCCGCTTGTCCTGATTGGATTGAATATGAAACCCCACGGACAGCTTCTATCTAGTTATGCATTTCCAGTGAAGTATATTTGCAGCTTCTCGTGACAGTAGCGGGAATTTGCGTGGAATTGGAAATTTGCCCACCGAGAAATAAGATTTTCACCGATTACTGGAATATTCTGTTTTTTTTTTCATAACGTGACACCATCGGTGTCCATTTTCATTGGGTTGGCTACAACGAGAACAAAAGCTCTAAGAAGCTTGCATGATGGTCGCGCTGCTTTCATTGGCCACTCATGTCACCTTTATTCCCTTTGTGATAAAGTAGCTGACATGACAAAAACATCTGAATGCTTCATATTAATCTCAAAAGCAGCTAACATTTGCAAAGAAAAGATCTTACTTACTGGGATTGCATTAAAAAACATACACTAAATTGGATGTTTCTGGACAAGGCTGGCACCGTGCTATCGAATGATACGAAAATTGAAGTAAAAGTAGCTATCAAATTGCCGATAGACGAAATATCATTTCTGGACCGCTTTAAGCGTGCTCAAAAAAACTCCAGAAAGCAAGGAAAGAGCAAAATCATCGGCCCGTTGTATGGGTCAGGATGCGCCGCTGTCACGGTCGTTTCTTGAAACTAGGTTTCTGGGTCGCACCGGCACATCCTAGCTTATACTGGAAAGTGTCGACATCCTTTTCTTCATCCTCTGGGGCTTATTTATCACATTTTCTCATAAAGCACAAAGTATTGCTTCTATTTTTATACTTTTTGGAGCTTTCGAGTGATTCTTTTCACATTCACCGCAATATTTTCTGTAGAATTGCTCAGGAACGTCGTTGTTCCATTGCAAGGCGTCCCAATGCATTCTAAATTCGACATGAGGAATAAAAATGTTCCGCTGGTACTTGAAGTTTCGGCCGTCTAATTGTGAGGTTCACAGACTTGAAGGTCTGCGGTAGAAATACGGACCAACCCAGAAGGAATAAGGTCTCAAATAATATGTAGTCTCTCTAAGCGAGAAAATCTGTTTTTTAAACGAAAATGTCGTCAAAGCAATAGTTTTCGTCAGCCTCACATACCCTTCGCCTTCTAATATTCATGGCTTTCCGAAAATTCCTATATAGTCAGTGGTAATGGTAACTATGAAGTGCAATTGAGCTCCTTGGTAGATAGCTGGCTTAGCTCCAGATAGTACGAAGCTTTAGATAGAGCTTAAAAAATTAATCAATAATCGTACAAACAGCCAATTGCTAGATTATACCCTTCAGCGATGCCGTGTAGTCAACAACGTAATCCATGCATATGCCAGTAATCTATTATGTACGATCCTGAAAATTACTGCACGTAAGGTGGTAGGATGGCTTGGAGAATCCCTTGAACCAAAATTCTATTAAAGGTGGCAAGCGGGGTTTTTGGGAAATTGAGGATTTGTTAGCTTCCATTCGAGAAGGGCGAAGTTTCGACGAGTTTCGTAAGCATAGTGGCACTCTGGGACGTGATTCTACATCGGCTGGTACCAACTCGTCCACCCGTCTCTACATTTTTTTTTCCATGTAATCTTTTATTTGTTCTAATATGTTCCAACGGGAGTTGCTTAAGTATGCATAGAAATGAGCATTACAACTTGAAATCAAGGTACAGAATAAAGTTACAGTAATCCCACCCTTCATAGCTGTTATTTTCGATCCAAAATAAGCCAACCCTTTAGATTGTTTGCCTACCTTTCTTCTTTCTTCGCTGCAGAAAGCAAAAAAGAACCTTCTGCGACCTAGTTTAGGGTTATACTTGAGTACATTGACTACCTTCTTACTCTTCTATTCTTTAGAATTCCTAGTAAATTAGGAGGAGAGGGAGTCTCCTCGGTCTCAGGGACCTTGCGCCGCGGACGTGGTCGAATATGTAAGTGGAAGTTTGTGAAAGAATGCGTTAGGGAGGGAGAGCACCGGGCACTCACGAACTATTGCAGAATATGCATTCAAATAATTTCTTGTTCTTTTGTGGCCTTCAGTTTGTTTCCTTTTTGCAGCTTAGTCTTTCTTTAGCTGACTGGATCACGTAAGAATGAGGCCTTTTTTCTTTTGAGATATTATTCTTTCCTGCACGCTAGAATCTTGAAAAGGCAGCATCAAATCGTCGAGAACACTCACCGAGTCGATGCCCTATTCAATGCCGGACCCAATAACCTTTCCGCTTTTTTTAGATGTTGCCAATCAAATGTCAAAAATGTCCTAATCGCCCTTGTAAATACCAAGTGCTGAGCATCTGTTCGACCGTAAAAACGAGACCTTATTGTTCCTTTTTGTTTAGTGTAGCATTTCCAGAGCCCTAAGTTTTAGTGTTCTTCTTATGACCTTCTATTAGAGCGTTGCGAGAAGGTCGTTCAAGCGTAATTTTAATTAATTTTCTCCATTAATCTTTGTGCTTGTTGCACACCGTGTTTCAGTAGAGTTGCACTATTATTTATGATCACTCGAGCATACCTCAAAACCTAGTAAGAAGCTGGCACTGACTACAACGGTGCGGATTAAGAGGATCTGGTTATGGTAGAAGTGAAGGCAAAATGAGTGATCCTGACATGATTATCGGACTTTTTTCCAAGCGGGGAGGCGAACTGTGCAATTTCAGCATTTCACTACTCGATAAATCCTCCAAACAACGCCTTCTTTCTCACTTCAAGCTCGAACGATGCAAATTTCACTCATCGGCTGTTATACCTTCAGGTAACCATAACTTACTGTTTCATCCTGCCATCCTATTATCCTTAGGCAATGCCTTCTTTCAGGACGACTGTCCCTATTCGACTGACCAACACATTACTGCGACAACAGGCAGTCGAGCTGAAAGCACACGACTTCTGCCCTCAATTGTCAATCTTCACTGTGCTGTCACCGTAAAACTTGTTGAAGACGTCGTAAGACTGGTAGGTTTTTTGCTCCAATTTAGCTTTAACATTTATATTTGTGTACTGATTATGTTATGTTCATCCCCAGCCTCGACTAGTAAATCATTCATTAGAATTTCTCAACTCGATCATTATTCCTAAGTCCGTCCTCGACTGTCCCTATTGCCTATTAATTGCCGCGATAAGTGGGATTTGTTTTTTTTTATTTTTCAAACATATATTAATGCAAAATTGTTTATTGAGTTCGAATAATATCTGACAGATGTCGGCCACGCTGTCAGTTCACTACTGAAGATAGTACGGCTGTGATAGTATGGTGATCAGTGCTGGGCAAAATGTTTGAGGCTTTTCTCCTTTGCGAACTAGCCGATTTTGGTCGCGAGCATACATGTTATGAACTCTCCGGGAGCTGGATTTTGCGAGGAGACAGGCTGGTTGGTAACTCCGCCCATAAGTCTGAGCCAGGCGACTTTCGTCTAAAATACGTAAAGGGAACTGTTCCCAGACGTTGTAAAGGGCTTGAAAACGGGACCCTTCCAAAGGTCGATGCCGCTCCTCGCTCAAGCTGACATCTTGCTCCTTTATTCATGTACCAGCTATGTACTGACAACGACAGCTGCACTCTGTCAGTTATAATTATTACGATAACCAAAATGTCACTATGTGAACTTGTCTTAAATTTGTTTGACCTCTCTGAAATTTTCGGTTCTCTCTAGCAGCGCTTCAGAATGTAGGAGGTTATCTTGTTATTTTCATGGTGCTCATAAGCATTGTCCTTAATTCTCTTGGAGCACTTTGAGCGCCACTAAAGCGCCTGCAGCTCAGACTATTGTCTGGTGCAAGATGAATGTGCAAAAGCTGAGAGTCAATCAATCTTTCTTGAGTTGAGGTACGCAAGGTTAAGCCTTGATTTTAAAGTGCAATGGGGTCTAATTATAAAAAGCCCTGGAAGATAGAAACGAGGCGACCTCATGGTTTGCAAATGGCAGATGCAAATGCAGAGAGAAACTATCTTTTCATCATCTGTTCTCACACTATATGTCATACGGTAGGATTGAAGGCAATCATAAAGGGATGATCGAATAAAAAGATAGCAGGTCGATCTGGGGCATTAACACATCTTCTCGTCCGTCATACTGTATTTATTTATTCTGTATTTGGTAGACATTAACATGATTAAAGGTTATTTTTTCATTTTCGTTCCATCGCCTGGTACTCCCTTCATGATGATTTAGAGCAAAATGCTTCCCAGACTATTCTTCCCTTTGTTGATGTTTGAATTCCAAGGATCGATTATACTTTTTGCACTGGCGATGTCCTTGTGAAGACCATTAGGCTTTAGCAGGACTATAGTCACGCAAGGCTCTAGCTCTGGACTCCGAGGCCCATTTCTTAAGTGGTGTGTCAACTCGTAGCCATAATTGCTTGAGTACTCGAAGTGGAGTTGTGACGTAATTTTCACTAATTCAGGATCGACCTCATGTGGATGTTTTGGCTCTGGCTGACCTACCATTACTTTCCTTTCTCAAGCAGTCTGCATGCGTTACCGTACAGGTCACCAGTCCTACAGCTGACACAGGTTAGTCGCTAGACAGGAACATATTTACATCAACTGTGCCCAAATGTGCGAGGGCAAGTCCGTGTCGGCTTTCGTTGCTTACCAGTGCCTCCTAACGTCTTGACAGAGTTGGGAAAGGGGAGCTCCAAATACGCGTAATGCACAGCGAGACATCTAGCTATTTATTGCCCGCTTCTCATCAAATCGGGACTTTCTCATCAAATCGGGACTTTCACTCTGCAGCTGATAGTGATATAGGTGTGAAATCGTGCTCTCGTTTTTTTTAGATCTTACCACTATCACACTGAGATTCCTATAACAATAATAAAATGTCACAGTAAGTACGCTGAGCCTTATTCCTGAATAGCCCGGATGTTTACAAAACGAGTATTCCTAATGCGAATAACGAGCGGTGTAATCGCTTCATGCTGTTTCTAAAGATAGGAAGCTTCTTACAGCGAAGAGTTTTTTCAAGTTGCCCCCTTCCCTTTCAAGAGGTATTGTATTGGTTGAACTTGTGTTGAAGTCGTTGCAGGAATCCAAATTAAATAGATTCCATTGTGTATATATATATATGGGTAAATAGGTGAATAGCAGTTAACGTTCTTACACGGTTTCCTATTACATCTTTTTCAGTTTCTTCATCATGTCATCTTTCGCCATTCGAAGAGAACAAGCACAGTTGTCTGNTGTGTTGAAATCGTTGCAGGAATCCAAATTAAATAGATTCCATTGTGTATATCTATGGGTAAATAGGTGAATAGCAGTTAATCGTTCTTACAAGGTTTCCTATTACATCTTTTTCAGTTTCTTCATCATGTCATCTTTCGCCATTCGAAGAGAACAAGCACAGTTGTCTGATAAGGCTGCAGATACCGTATTCGTGGTTCGGCGCCATTGGGCACAACTCGACTTTCCGCCAGGTAAATGAACCTTCACTTTTGGCAATAATGTTGCTGTGACTTTCTGATTCAGGTGCTCTCGATGTCTCATACGGTATCATCGACATGTAACGTGCCGTTCTACGATAGACCCCAAACTCCGCTCAGTCTCCTGCCACACATCGAAAATGCTCAAGCTCATACACTTGTCAAGGACAATGAAGTGTAAGTTCAGAGTCCATTGTTTTTGTGGATCTCTTTTTATCATGATCTCCTTCGGCACCTACCTATGCTCTCATTTTCAAGCTTTCTTTTAAGCATTTTCTGAAATCTGAACGAAAGGCTTTGAAATTGTGAAAGTGTAGGGGCTAAAATAGAGGGTGCAGGTCTGGTATGTAATAAAGTCAAGGTGTCCTGTCACGGTGATACCTCCTTTCGCTGATGACATGAGCTGATCTATACCTAAACTTTCTCCCTGTTATATCAGATACGAGCATTTTGTGTTTTAGAGCAAACCAAACTTTTCTTATGGGGCGCCAGATCAGGCTTGGCACTTTGCAGCTTCGGCCCTTTTTTGACTAGAGTCTTCACAGAAAATTTGAAACGTTCTTGAATTTTCTGGAGAGTTCTTCCAGGAATTCTCAACGGCGAAGATTATGCTGATTCTGAATTTTCAATTCTCTCGACGTTTTACCCCTGATAGTATTATGGCGGTGTTGATGTTTCAGGGATCTTTCACTGCTGTCTCGGGCGAATCTGTCTTTCGCTCTCAATTCGCTCAACTCTTTGTTCGTTCACCTCTCGTATAACATTACCGAAGCCACACTGGAAAGACTCGAAATGAGGTGAGGTCGCTCAAATGAAAGAACGTTTTCTTAGGCGGAACGCCCTTTATATTACAATTTGGGATTATGATGTTGTGATTCTGAGGGAAATGCTACTAGTAAGAAATTTGAGTTGGCGGTGAATGTTAATCCAAACCCCTCACGTATTATTGACGCGGCAGTGTGGAGTTCCGATTATTTACCACTAGGGGTGTTTTAGATACAGAGTACTACATGATTGAAACTAAGAAGGATGTGATATCGCTAGGTTTAGAAATATACTTAATAGTATTGACCGGAAAGTTGCAACATTTCTGCTTCTCAGTCGATACCCCATTTACGCGGTTCTTCGGTGAAGTTTTCTTTCGTTGCCAATGGCGGTCATCAGTGTTCTCACCTTCGCGGTACCCCTGAGAAAGATGTTGAAAGAAAGACACGCGGTGCTTTTTCGATCATCCTATTTGAATAGATCGACTTCTTTCTAGATTGTATGTGCAGAATGCATGCATGCTGTAGTTTGCATGTCATGCTTGCATATATTAGGAGACAGTATAGCAGTTTTCTTTTCTTGTATGTCCCCAAAGGAGCTAATTTTTTTCTTGTATGTTCGCAAAGGGGCTAAGCTGTCGCAAAATTATTTGGTATGGCTGATTACCAAGGTGGTTCTGAGAGAGGAATCATAATCGTATGACATGAAAAAATCATTTCCGGGATCGTCGGAGTTTTCCTTTTCCAACTCTGCTTCTTTAGATTTTTAGGGTTTTTTGGTATCTGTTTGCTTAGTTTCGTAGTGGAATAAGGTTGGTTTCTTATTATAGACGGACTGGAGCGTCAGGGAGCTAGAAACTCTTTTCACGAAGAACAATATTATCGTTTGGGACATATTTGTCATGGAGCAGCGTTCCTCCATTAATCAGTCGCGGCAGTTGAGATGATGTCGTTTGAGGAAAGCAAAGATCATCACGGAAATAGCCACCAGCGCTGCACAATTTACTTTCCGGGGCCTACTTTCCTGAATCCATCCAAGGGGTGAATCCATGTGAATCCTTCTGTCTCTAGGAAATACAGATGGCATATCAAAAGAAAAAGTAAATCGATCACCCGGTACGGTCAGAGATGGATTAGGCTTGAGGCGATATAATCATGGGTATAATGTATCCGAAAGCGGCTCCATCTCTCTCCTAACGAACAGCTTCCCATCCGTCTTCTTTGCCATCCTTCCTGCCATCACTTTTTTATTGTTTGCGTTTTCATAATGCTGAAGTCTATGGCGCCTCACTGATTGGCAGCCGTCTGCTGAGAGTGTCAAGCGTTCAAGCATTTGGCGCGGAATCCATGATAGAAGAAGGGGCATATGAAGTCCCTAGGGATGGACTGGACTTATTAAAGAAATTAGCAAAAGTGTTATATCACGGTAGTGGTTCGGTAGGTCTAAAGTTTTGAGAAATATCTGCTCATTTTCTTTTTTTTTTGCTTCTTAATTTTGTGTAGTTTTTGTGTACTACGTTTGACCTATTAGTTATTTTGATATTTTGTTTAGAACCTATGTACCCGAGCCCCACTCATAGGCAGATTTTTGGAATAATCCTGGGCTTGAGGATGAATCTTGGGCGAAACGCTAAGGAGAAATTGAAAGGGGCAATGAGCTTTTCTATGATTACTGTCTCTGACTGATGAGCAACTGAATGTTTTTTTCGAAAACCATTCGAGGTTATTTCAGATTATGGTTAGACGCACGATTCGATCTACTCAATGTCTCTCCGTTAGCGCCCGACGTGTGGTCCTTGAGGGTCGTCTCAGCTACTCGCCCCCTGTTCTACACTTCCTTTATATGCAAGAGGAAAAGCAAAGCCACCTAGTGAGTCCCTTTTTTTAGTACTTCTTCTTCCCCAATGTTGCAATATCATAAATCTGAGTGGAATCGTCTTTGAAGCACCTTCCACTTACAAATTGCCCAGCACTGAAGGTTTCTCTGTTATGCGTCATTGTGTGAAAGTCGAATAGTTTTCTTCAAGAGTGAAAGTTGTCATGAGATGAATGAATAGCTTTCTGCTCTTGAGTTTCTCGGAAACTCTTTTTATGATCCACTCGCTGTTTGCTAGAACGAGTCGCGTGTCATTGTCGATGAGCTGCTCGATTTATGAGTGTATAGAGAGCAAAAAGCACTCCGCCGCGGGGTTTCTTCAATTGAAATGGAAGGCTACATTCCATAACTCTTTCTGTGTGGCCATTCCGTCGAATGCACTGCTTTGGGAATGGAAGAGTGTATAGTTGAATTTTATGGAGTACACCTTACATTTACCTCGAAACCCCTCATTAGACACACCATCTGCCTCCGCCTTCTGCTTCACTACCCTTCTCTGAATTGCGCTTGAAGCAACCAATCCATGTAGTGCAAGTTTTTCTTTCCAGTTGGGATGGATACGTATTTGCGCTGTTGTTACGAATGCGTGGTTCTATAACAGAAAACAAGAGGCTAATGAAAAATGAAGAAGGAGATGAGGTATCATTTTGCTGTGTTTGTTTGCAGCCCATGAAATCCTTCAACATCAACATGGCTAATCCGAGGATTTTAGGCTGTACTGCATTGGGAAATTCGGCGAAGCGGTGGAAATGCTTCACAGGTGGGGAATACTTATCCTTTTTAAGGTTCCCATGCTCACAAAGCTCGAGGACTAAGTGCTAACTTCTCGATGCTACTTTTTTAGGTGTTATATTTTTTATTTTCCGACATTTTCATGAATTTTCCAGCTATAGAGGCCTCTAAGCAACAAATCTTTGTTACTTACTACTTTTATATAGCCAATACTGTTCAGGAGCACATTCACAAGGTGGCTACCAAGTTCCGCGTTGTGCCGGATGCGTTGTACGCCCTCGTACCTGTTGCTAAGGTGAGGCTAATTTACGATGCAACTCTGAATTTAGTACTTCCGATAGTCTGAGAAAATACTGGAGTGGATTCGATTATGAAACTTTAATATACATGAAGTGTTTCTGAACTATATTGCATAACTATGGAAGTTCAGTTATCCTTTTTGTGGTTCTGCAAGAATCTTCAAGAAGAATTCCCAGAAAGGCTGGGATGGAATATGGATTGAAAGTGCAAGGAAGTCGGTAATCACCGCATAGGGATTAGCAGAGGAGCATATCCATCTTATGATTCGAGGCTTCTGCAATATTTTTAGCTTTCTTCCACACTTCAGCCTACCCCATTAGCATTTCTTTTAGAAAAGGACTTACTTTACTGTCTGAAGGAACTGCTTCGGCAGGGATCCGGGCAATAAATACCACAAGGCTGACTGTAAGTATCAAGAAGAAGAGAGTCAGACGGGTAAAAACGGGATGTAACGTTTTCATAACGGAAGGTTTTTTCCAGCCGCGTAATTGACGCAAAATTGTAGTCTACACTTTCTCGTAATGGACGAGTTTACGGCGTAGAGGTGTTGCTGACTCGGCGATTCCTCGTGTTGCCTGCACCCTCCCCGTAATCGCATCATCTGCCTCCCTGCTCCGGAACGCTAGGGACTCGTCCGTCAGCTCAAATAAATTACAAAATCAAGAGCTTTCTAAACAGAACGCCAACTTGGCCTGTTTTGGTTTCTTCGGCTCTTACGCCCACTTACCGCCTTCACTTTAGATACCATCTATAGCTGACTTATGAAATTACGGCCCTTAAATTGCATACTACGTACGAGACAATGAGTGAGCATGATAATGAGATCAATGCACTCGTAAATGATTTGGGCTTTTCGACGACAGTGCTCAAGAAGAGAATATCCATTGGTGGGATTCAATAGTATTCCGAGCTTTCACCCAATTGATGGATATTCTGATCCAGATGACAATGGTCACAGATGAAAGAAAAGCCCACTAGTACGTTTGAGAAAGTTCCTGACATCTCGTCCTATTTGTAAGCCGAGGAATAGTTGTGTACATTGCCTAATCTACGGTAAATTGATGAAAGATTTTGATGAGAACAGCCTGAGAAAGTTCACCACGTAGCACTGTAAGGGTATAGAGCTGTGAAGGCTTCATGAACTGCCAGCAAAGAGGCAGTGATTTTCAGGAGAAAATGCCTTGTGAGCTCGCTATTTAACTATGAATATCCGTATTGATAACCTCTACCTCTCCTCTATTTCGAGAGTTCTCATTGATTTCCATTACGGAAATGGTCCGGTGAATTTTTTTGCTGCCTAGCATGGTATTTTGTCCTCGTTTTTATCCTTCGTCCCCCGTCTAAGTACTCCCTATCGAAACTATTCTTACATGGTTTAGTGGATCATCCATGGTATGACCCATTTGGGAAGTAGTCTGTCAGATCGTCACTTCACTAGCTCACCTAAATTGAATTTCCAGTGTCGATAGATCGGAAAGAGACAGCATTGTCCATTTCCAAAATTCTTAGCTCCTGCGAAATACAGGTAGTCCCACAATTTGTAAGGCAGTAGAGTGCTCGTTATCTCAAGTCTAAAGTTCACAAAAAGATCATTACTTCTACCCCGAACTTTATGATACTTGAAAGAAGCTAGTGTTTCTATGGTCGACGGCTTTTCTCAGTCCATTCGTGGAATGGTCGAATGGCAAGACTTATTGACACTCTTGTTCCGCCATTCAACCAAGTCAGCTTCAAAGAGCAAGGTCTGAAAATTACTTCCTAATGACTTCCATAAGTGCTCCTTTACGCGCTGCACTTGTAGAAAAATAACCCGCAATTACTGATGGGTGGTGAGTAAATGGGATTTTTGATGACCTCGTTGTAAAAGAAAGGGGCCACAAGTTTCTCTCAGTAAAGCGAAATTATGCGAAGATTTCAGTTTTGAATCGAGTAAGAAATCAAAGAGGAATTCGATGCTCAGGAATGTGGGAGGGTAGGATGCATGGCGCACTCTAAGATGACTTCATGATGAGCGTAGCCTCATCATCGTTCTAATTCCACGAAAATAAGACAAGTGCGACTATCGAGCTTTGTTTGTTCCATCTACCAATGGAATTCCCACCTACGAATCTCGAATCGAGAAGAAATTATAAACAAATTTTGTTGATTGTTTCCTTGAAGTCACTGGAATCAGAAGGCAAGTCGATTGGCATATGTAGCCTCAATAAAAATGCGCTTCTGGCTGAAGTCTTGATGGCTTCCTGAAGATAGTTTATCTTCTAAGCGGTGCGCATAGAGCAAGTGATCACCATGTGAGCCACCGTGTCGGAGCCAAAATATGGACTTTGTTAAGAAGAGCATGAATAATACTTACAACTGGGCGTTAATGGTCTTCCATGGATTCAAAGACTTATCAACTTGCCAAGGAGACAGTTCGGTCTGTCAGGAAGGGAAACTTCGCTTCTGTGGAGTCGAGAAATGAGAAATTGACTTTGAATTACTGTAATTTTAGAACTCACCCAATATTGGCTCAAGTCCGCAATCTCTGCCCCTTCAAATTATGAGCGATTAGGGCTTCGAGCACACATTGCTCACTTCAAAATTGGAGATTTCGAGTTTCTGAGTCTAAGTATACATCTTGAGAGGATGTCAGTGAACTTAGGCTAACTGGCTAATTGGAGACACAGCTCTCGATCAGAGTAGTCGGGCGTTGCCATGAAGAAACAGTGTTTGGAAGTATTTTATTAGGGGCTCGAAATCCGCTTACGTTCACGATAACGTGATGAAGGAGTTGGCATCTTCGAACCCTTAAAGAAGACGGAAATTCATGGTTGTTGTTGTTATTATTATTATTGTTCGCCTCTCACTGAAAGCACTTAAATCTCGTGCTAGCGTAATTCCAAAACTAAAACAAAACAGACACTCGAATCCAGTAGAGTTGATTTTTTAATCATTTCTTAGAATTCTTTGATTTCCACGTATTCCAGCTTTCTATAGCACCAATTTTCATACGGATCTGCTCTGAAAGCAATGATTGTTTGAGGCAGTGCAATATCTTTTCAGAACACCGACCTCATAAACACCGGAGTACTATCCGGGCAACAAACCGCAACCTCTATGAGGGTGTTCACCGCCTCTCTAGGTGGAGTTATTCGCGATGTCACATCTCGCTCACACTGCATTTCGGCTGAGTCAAGAGTTCTGAAAACGAGTCCCACATGCACTTCGGTAAGTTGTTGTGTTAAACGAGCTGAATGCAATTTGCTCCACCTCATCTCTTTCAGGTTTACGTCGATGGATCGGAACTGAGAGGAATGCAAAATATGAAAGTGCACGTTCACTTCGAGAAATGGACCACCTTCATCGCATTTACTGTCTGGTACCCACGCCTCCCAATTACGGTAGGAATTTCAGTTACCGGGTTCTTACGAAAAGGGGCTCAACTACGATGGGAATTTCAAAAACCACATTTATAAGAAAAGGGGAGGCTCTGTCGTGTGATTTATGTTCTTCACATTCACTCGGTACAGGTCTGTGGAAATCATCATAGCCATCTCATTGGTGGGAAATCGAACTCTCGTCGCGCGCGCAATATTCTGCCGCTTTAACCACTGGGCCATAGAGCCGCATATGCGTCGGACACTTCAGTTGCATGAATCTTTCAGTTGTGGCTACGTGATCCGGTACTGAACTCGATTACTGGCTGGCCGATTACCGTCTGGAAGAATCTACAGGGCGAACGTCATCAAAAAGGGGCTGCTAAACAGTTTGCTTGTGGTAATCGTTTCCAACAGACTGAGGTAAGTCAAAAGTGACTACAGCGGTTCAACAAAATAAAGTGACTCTACTGAGGTTGTTCAGCTACGAGTTTTTGCTTCATTCCAAGTTAGCGACGAACGTACTGGAGAACGAATGTACCTGAGTGGTCATCGTGACATCATGTTCGATGTTACTTCACTTGCTGCTGACAGGTAGAGAGCAGCTTTTTTTATCCACTTCGCCCGCAGGTTACGCTACTTCCAAAATTATTTGTTAGACAATAGGGTTGCTATAAATAACTAAGGAAGGTGAAAATGCTATTATCTCTAACAGTTGGGGGTCCAAGGAGCCCAGGAGCTCAGAAATCAGTTGGACGTTAACTTTTAAAGTTCATACCATCATCTGATTGGAAGATTCCCATTGCACACATTTAGGCTTGTGTCGCAGAACCCGATGAAATGGGTCGTTTGAGAGAGATGACGAGATGACAGGGAGGTTTTCTGAATCGGGGCTGTTCTTCCTGTCGATTTCTTAGGAGTTGCTTAGATGCGGCTTCAACTGAATATTTTGGCTCGAACGCATTTTCAGCGACACCTTCTTTAGACCTGCTTACTCTTAAGTTTGTCGTTCAGGTTCTGTAAACTAGCTGATGCTTTATGTATGGGAAATTTATAATAAAATACTGTTAAAATTGAGGTTCAGTCCAATAGCTTTCGATTACAGCATCGTGAGTGCAGATCGATCCATAGCAACTATTCGTAACTACAAGAACAGAGTGATAGTTCAAGCTGTGCAGCCGGGTGAAACTAGGTAAGATTTTTTGGAGACAGTCCCTTTGGCAGTAATCTGAGGTTGTGAGCCATGTTTCCAGAATCGTCATCAAAGCGCAGGCGCCAAACATCGACTTTGGCAGTACAACGATGGTGGTGTCCGGAGAAACGGTGGCCGTTATGAGACTGACAGCACTGCCCATTGTCGAGATGAACATTAACATCGAACCGACTGCTGGGAAACGAGCACAGTACGACGTCGTCACCACCCTTGAAACAACATTTCAGCATCGTTATCAGGTGAACAGAAGCGTTCAACTGCAATTACTGAGGGCGATTGATGATAGTAGATATGTAGTTCAGATGCCTCAGTCCTATTCATGATGCTATTTTCGCTTCTTTTGAGTAAATGGCACGGTCTTCAAAGTAATCTAAGCAATATTTCCGAAGTCTCAATAAAAGTACTAAACCAGTGAACCCTTGGTATAACCTAGGTTGTCTGACTGCAAGTTGGACAAGAAGTTTGAGCCTAAAATTGTTTTACGTATCTATGCCAACCTCTGCCATGACTGCCACTTAGCGGCTGCTCCACTTGGCCTTTTTTTCGCTTGCAAGTTTAATAGAGGGCAGACTCGGGACTCTGGCTAAATTCTTTTTCGGAATTCAGTGTTCTCTCACTTGATCGCTTGTCCCTTCAATTTCGATGGCGTGAATTTCAGCATGGAAGCTTCTTCTACCAACTACATTACTCCGATGACAGTATAGAGTTTTTGGACGATGTTACCGTAACCGATTTCACTCTCACATCACAAAGCTCCGATGAACGCGTGGTAGCTCTAGCTCACAAGGTTCAAAACGGAATTGATATGATAGGTATGTTGCTCCATCATCAACCGCACAAGCCCTAGGGTTTCCAGTAGTCCCCAGCTTTTTCTCTTGGAGTATCTTCGGCATTTTGAGTATGATCTTCAGTCGCTCATATGTAGCGGGATGGATGACGTTTTTCTCTGTGTCCACTGGATCACTCGTTCGTCTGGAGGGAAGTATTGCAACGTAAACATTGGATTTTAGCTTTGGACGACTTGACTGATCCATATATCCAACTTGAATTACGCCCACCGGCACATTGCACTGACTCGGACGCGGCTCCCTTGGTGACGTTACAAGTGCCGTTGAGGGTTCGATTCGACGGCGAAGACTCCAGCAGATTGGCAGCAGCGCGTTTCTCCATAAATGGTAAGATCTCTTCAAGAACAAAAAATTCCTCGAGATCTGCTCCGAAGTCAAAGTGAAGCAGCGCAATCATAGGGAACCTTTTTCAGCTACTACTTCCACACAAGCACCTGAAGTGTCTTCAATTTGGCGGATGGATTCCATACTGTCTGTGATCCTTGTAGTGATTCTCTTCGGAGGCGTCGTCAAATTTTTCTCGAAAAGGGCTTCAACCTTCAGAGGGTACGTGAATGCACTTACGACAGGAATTAGCCAGCTATAGCTGAAAGAGCTTTCTAGGTATGAAAAGCTAGTCGCACCACTTCTCTCTCGTCTTTCATCTTCGTCAAGTGGAGGTGGACGAGATGAGGATTCAAAAGAATGGGTGTGGCTTGGGAAGGCAAGAGCAGATACAAGTAGCATAGGTAAGCCTGCAAAACTATACAAATTAACATTTCTGTAAAAATTGATGTTTCATACTGGGTGCGGAAATACAATAGATGTGTTAGATCCTCGTCTTGATTTACTTAATTTGCGCACTTTGGGAAGAGGTTCAAAAAGGTAAGTTCAACGAGAGTTTGCACCAGTCGTTCCTGAAAAAGATATGGCGAATGCACCAGTTTTGAGCCTGGTTAAGTGTTGTTATGTTGAAAAGAATGAAGAAACGACGTGAATGGGAAAAACATCATCATCAAGTTTCTCGCGGAACAGTAATTAGCCAACAGTCATATCCTAGAATGTGTGGGAGAGTTCTAGCTGCTGCTTCAAAATGTTAATTGTCGTAGTGTTGTGTTAGTCGCCAGGTAGTAACGGCTAACACATTCTGGCGCATAAGCTTTCTTCAGCGATTCTTTCACAAGTAGTATTACGGTAGAAATATGCGAAGAAACTTAATTTTCATTTCTGTGCGTGCCTTTGAGCTCGCGATCACGTACCCAGGAACTGCTTTCGGGGTGTGTAAATTGTGCACTTGTAAACAGCGTTATTGAAGGATTGTCAAAAAAGGTTGATTCCGATAGCTTGCATTTACTAAGCTGTATATGACAACGATGAAGTTGTTCTACGCTCAGGTTCGCGCTATTCTCAAAAGTCCACCATACATGCAGTTGAGCAGTCGTCCCCATCTTATGACGAGAACACTCAGACAAGTATTTCTTATCGTGGTTCCGAAATCAGTGTTTTCATCTCACCGACACCAGTAGTTGCTGTGAGTTATTTTTTTCCTTTGTAATAAGAAAATGCACCTACCACTATCTAGACATGGTATCTTTCCGAGAGACAAATTTGAACGTAGCATTTCTTTTCCATTCAGGTACACGCGGACTACGAGCCACAGTGCGGCGGTAGCTGGCGGTCGAACGGTGGTAAAGCGAGGACTCGAGCTGGTCGCCATGCCCTCATTGACTCGTCGTCGGACCATAATCTCGCCAGGGTGGTCGCCAGAACCGGTAAGACTCCTCCTGTACTGCCCCCTATTTTCAGAAATGAGGGAATTATTGGCAGTCGGTGCTAACCTCCATAATGAACCTACTTTGTAGGTTCATGGAGGGAGGATAACGCATGGCCAAACAATACATGGAATTCAAAGAAGCGTGCAAATAATGCTTATGAAGGAATTAGGGAGAGTGTCGCCTAAAGGAGACAATCTTCTGCTACGATTCCTCATACCTCTACTCATTCAAATCGAATTGATTGCCATTTGAAACAGCGTTCAAACAGATCTCTTCTCACATGTAAATTTTACGGGTGCTTACCAATAAAGAATGCTTTTTTCTCTTGATAAACGTCCCAAGAAGGGGAGCATCGGCTGAGAAAAGACGAACAGCTCTTTTGCAGATGTTGCCCTCCTTCGCTTCAAAGCAATATAAAAATTTTCGCTTAATTTTGAGTAATTACGTTTTGTTTATATAGAACTCCGTTGTTTACACGAATTGTAATCGGTTTTTCGCGTGAGTTTTATCGATTTATCAATCTCTTAAAACTATTTCTCGAGCATTCAAAACAACTTGAAAAGGAGCACTGAAGTATATAAAAGGCATGACAGTTATAATGCACTGGATGTAACCTGAATTTAATGACTAGATAACTTGTCTATTAGTTAAGAGGTGCCTATCGCCCTACACTACAGTATTCAGTGATGTACACAGTAATCTCACTGCAGTAAAACGGCTCCATGCTATCATGTCACCAAAATTAACTGTGCTCGGAAAACATGTGTAGTAGCACGACGACACGTCATACTCAACAGAAACTACGTAAACAAACTGAGCAAAGTAATTTGAAGTAGCTCCAACAAACTGAGAGCCCACTGTAATCAAATAAACAAGCGGCAAAATGATGAGGTAGTGTAAAGCTTTGCGTAAAAATGAAAGACTTAAGCAGCGGTCGCGATTACCAAAATGAATGACGGATGGACGTGGCATCTAATCAGAAACTTTATCGACCACTTCAAACAACCGCTTCTCCCATCGTTCACAATAGATTCTGAAATGAAGTGGTTGGATACATCATAATGGCAAAAAAAGAAGATTCCAAATAAGACGCACAAAGCTTTACCTTGCATTTTTCAGAATGGAAACTTCTGCCTTTTTCAGTGAAGCTATATTTTTCTCATTCAATGTTTTCCCTTCAGCTATATTACCATAGGAGCGTTCCAATATAGCAAAACGATTTTTGAGGAATTCGACGGCTTTGCGAAGCGTAGCTGGGTCCGATATTGCCTGAAAACTTGATCACAATAGATACTGGGAACAGTTAGATGCAGCAGGTACAGCAAATCGCATACTCAGAACTTACTGGAGGAGGGAAATCAAGACGAAACCTTTCAAAGATCCCAATACAAAACAAAACACTCACCATCGCCGGCATGTCGGAGACGTAGATTCGAGCGAACTGCTCCATAGAAGGATGGAATGGACTTGGGCCGACTCCAATATCGTAGAGGTAGACATTTGAAGTTTCGCTGAAGCCCATTTCTGAGAATAGCTTCTGTTTCTCTTTGAAATTCTTATCAGCTCGTCCAAGACCTGAAGCATTCACATGTGACTTTCCAAAGGCTTGGCACAAACGCAAGATAAACTTCTACGCCGCCTACGAACAGTCATTACCAGTCAGAAATATACTCACTGATTTTCAACTTGTAGCTATCGAAAGGATTTGCGCCAGCAGGGACGAAGCCATTGTGTAGTAGATGATCGGCACATGATCGTCTGCCATAAAACATACTTACCCACTGGCCAGGGGCCACATTCTTTGTGGCCAGTATCTGAACACAACCGCAAATTAATTAAGTATAAAAATTATAATAAAATAAAACGGTATAAGGAAACAATTGCTCCCAATAATCAGCAAAAAGAAGGAAGCCTGGAAAACGTGATCACCTCTGCGCAGTCATCCTCCAAGCAGTAAGAAACAGCTTCTCCCAAATCTTCAGTCCCCATGATAAGTTCGTGATTAGCCATATCCAACATGGGAATTAGGGCGGGTACCTGAAGTTCTTGTTTCAGATAGAAATGTCGTGCCTACTAATGGAGCAAACTGTCATCATAAATATCGTGGTAGGCAAGTATAAATGAAGTGACTGAGCTCGCAACAGCAAAAGTAGTTGAGAAGAAGCTGTGTACCTTTCAAAGAGTAGCTATTCAATTCTTTTCGCAATTATGTTGCACCCAATCAAAAGATGAACGGAAATAAAACCTCACATGGAAGGCGAAAAGAAATTTGTTGCAGTGAAGAAAAACTAGGAGAAAAGGAGGAAAAATTCTGTAGAGAGAACTGAGAGTAGATAGAAAGCTGATATAAGAAAAACACGAATTCGTGAAGACAGAATACTCTGTGTAACATTAAGAGCGATTACTCTGTATTACACTTTATGACAGGGTAAAGTTGAACTATACAAATCAATCTGACCCGGAAATTTAACCGAAGGGAATCATCTTTATGAAGTTAGAGAAGCAGAGGGATGACAGCAGAAGACAAAGCGAAGAATTAGGATCGCGTATCAGGTAAAAACCATGGACCAACTGAAGATTACGAATTTTTACGTAGAATAAAAACTTACCATTTTTCTAGTGCCGTCAGCAGCTCTGGCCGTTTCACTTGGAATCAGATTAATTCGTGTAGTTACCGTTCCAACGGACCATCTATACAGTGAGAACGTGAAATTGTCCACGGTGAAGGGGGAATTGTACAACAGCGGAGGCTGAGCTCCGGCTCTTTCTCTCTAAAAAGGAATACTGTGGAGAAGTTCATGAATTACATAAGGAGAATAGAAGCGGAATGGATTCAGTGATGAAGGAATTGTGATTAAGTCGAGTCAGAACGCTGTAAGATTCAATAAATATTTGTTAAAACCCACACGACTTGTGTTGTCGTAGACGTCATTACGGCCGATCATAAGCAAGTAATAAATGAACTGCCTAGCAACAGTACGGTAGAACAGTAAAGCTTCTTCAAAAACAGGGGACGGCTTCAGTAGCTGAAATAAAGTTCGAAATATAACAGATAAGCCTTGTCTATACTTCAACAAGATGCTCTATGCTATCGGAACATGAATATCTGAGGCTAATATTAAATTCGTCATCATGGCAACGATTTAATAGCTCAGTAAAACACAATTATTCACTTTCCTGCTATGCCGCATTTCATTATATTCTATAAAAGTAATGGATCTTTTTTGACGAAGGAAGGAATTACACGTCGACAAACGCATTACATTACAGCTGAGACAGAAAAAGCATGCTTAGCGCTAGTCCTATTCCGATAGTCTGAAAACCAAGCAATAAAATAGTAATTATAAACGCACTTGTAATTCGTCTTCTGTATAAAAAAGCGGTGTCGTGTAGAAACTGGGAAGCACATTGAGATAGGGGGCCCATTTCGAATCAGATTTCACTTTATGAGCACAGATGAAAAGAGCCAGGCCAACATTCGCCATGTTTTGAACAATAACTTCGCTTTCAAACACCTTTCTTGAAATGACTCATGCTAATAGGCAAATCACACGTCAAAGAATAGATCTGAACTCACTTGAGTATAGCAGATTTCCTCGCTAGATCAACGGAAATCATGGCATGTCTTGGGACAGTCACACATCGCTCCTTTTCAGCTATCTGTCTGAAGAAATTTTCTCAAATTCGTGCTCTTGAAGAGTGTTGCACAAGAACATTCGAGTGTCTCAAAATCTAATTGCTCCACCTACTTCGAGGCCAACAGCCCTAAGCCGCCTACTTCGTCGCACTCGGATACTGTTACTCCATAACGTTTAATGCCGATTTGATCGGCCCATGTCATGAAATCCGCAACATCTTTTTCAGATCTGAAGTAATGCTGCTTACAGGAAGAAATTTTTGTTACAGACAAAATCATTATCAATACTGTTCAGGTTGGGAAGGAGTGATAATTGATTCTTGCTCTCATCTACCCCCGCTCACAGGAAAAAGTCATCATAATCCAGCGGCGAGAAAATGATGCCAGTGTTATTATCGAATCAGTTATGTAATTGTTGGATTGTCTCAATCAAAAAAACTCCCGAATACGGTGCAGTACCAGTTTCGAAATAATTTTCTCGCAGAATTACAGTGATGAGGGGGTTGCCAAAAACATCCATGCTACCATGGTTTTAGAGAAAGTCACCCTAAAAAGGTGGTGGAGCGGACCGAATTGTGACTCCTCCAGCTGATTCGCCTCATTCATAAGAGTATGTAAAGAATTTGCTCCGGAGTATAAAACTTTTCCCCGTGGGAGGTCGCTTACTTTTTTATCTTTGGCAGCGATAAGGGATGCTCTCGCTTTGTTTTTTGGTGTGCATTCACAGAAGACGCTATCAAGCTCAAAACAGGATAAATAGGGGCTACCAAATGAATACGAATTAAAATTGAACAACATTTCAAGAAAATCGCTGCTTATCAGAGAAATCCAGACAGTTTATGGTCAATACAAAAAAAAACCGTAGTTCTAAAGAAATACAGCAAAAGACCAACCGCATTTTCGACAAGTGGATATCGGTGTCGCTGAGTTTGGCCTGTTTGCTAGTAATCTCATCAAGGACCCTCCTAATCTCTTGGTGTTCATTCCACAGTTCTACAACGTTTGGCGTAGGAGGCTTCGAAAGCACTTTCTCGAAGATATCTGCAGCTGCCTGCAGAAATTCTCCTCTCAGCTTTTTCGACTCCGTGGGAGATATGCCCATAGTCTGAATGGAAAGATAGTGATATTCAGTACCCTCTTTCACTAGTGGCACATTCATGGCCTCCCTGTAAAGGTTTGTACGATATGCGATTTCAGAAATACAACAAAATGGATTACGCAAGTATCGATTTGGCTAAGTGCGCCTTTGGGGATTCCAAAATCGACCAAAGATGGAGCACAGAAACAGCAAAGCCACTACTTGACAATATCCTTGCAAAATCCATTTCATCTGCTATCTGCTACACTGAGAGAAGCAGATGCTAGCTGTTTACTGCGAAAGTATCCACGCTGCCAAAGTAAACTCATCTTTACCACGAAGTCATCTTGAGAGAATGATTTTTAACAAAGAAAGTACACGATGTTCTCACACAACTGAATTATTCTCGAAGCCATGACTTATATAACAGATTACGTCCCTTGGTGATTAGAAGCTCACACAAATATCACATTCGATTCCCTCCAAGCAACACTCCGTGAAGATCATAGGATTGCTAGTTGATTTACAAGGAGCTAGACAGACAAAACCTTTTACTAGAAAGTTTTCCGTGTTGATTTGGTAAAGCAAGTGCAATGCCTCAAAAAAGGCTTGATTTTGTTGTAATGTTGCAAAAAGCCATAGAGCTGAAGGAAGGTGAGAGAATCACTTAGTATTGGGCCTATTCAATGAACTGAACAGCTACAAAACTATTTTCATAGGAACCATACTGACGAACATTTGAGAATATAACTGCGCCTACTAAATATTTGAAAGTTACTAGTCATGGACAGCAGTAGAAACAGAGCAACAAAGAAAATAAAGGAAAACACAGGAACTCTCGGAGAAAAGGCAGAAGTCTTTGAAAAAAGACGATCGAGAATTCGAGGTTTGTGTGTGGTGGATTGAGCTGCGGCAAGCAAGAAAACGTGCTCCACTGACAATGCGAAAAGCTTAAAAATTGTGGTCAATAAAGGAAAAACGCTTGAAAATTGGTAAATCATCAGAGCTCACTGTGGCTCTCTGACAAAGATGAGACTAATCCGTTACAGATTCAATCAAGTCGATATATGAAAGGTTTGGTATTAAATCAAGGAATTAAGCAACATTAAATAGCGAAATATTAATAGAAACGACATGTAGCCTGAAACTCTTAATGGGTTTAGATAACCCACTGAGTGTACTATCGAATTCACTGCTTACACTGGGGGAAATAACAGAAATATTCATAATAATATACAGTTGAAGAGAACATTCTCAATACTTTCAAAAGGTTATGGATCAATAATCAATAAAACATCTCCTAAATCAGTTAGTCATCAACCTTTTCTCTTAATTTGTTTACTTTTTAAGTGGTGACAGTGGTAAGTCCTTAGGTGTTTCAGGTACTTTCACTGAACCAAGAAATGGCTCGAGTTATCCAACTAGAGATGCGAAGCAGTTGAAGAAGAAAACCCCAGCAAGAAGATGAAACCCGCAGGCGGGTTCAAATTGAGTGGGTGGCTTCACCGTACACTATGGGAGGGTGATCGATTCGATCAGGGGTGGGCGGTTGGCCAGCTGACCACTATGACGTCATTTGCGGCGCCTTGCAGCGTGTCTGCGTCTAATACTCAGCCAGCAGCGAATTTCGCTGCGTAGCAAAAGTAGTAAATTCGCATTTTGGCACATACGCCGGTAACAGAGTTGTTGTTTAGTGTTGGACCTGGCTCCTTTTTGTCCGTTTTCGAGCTATTCAGTACTACTGCAGTATGTTCATAGTTTTACTTGAAATGAACATTATCATCTCATGGGACGTTTATTGATTCTTTGCGCTATACTTGTTGACAACATGGCTTTTTAGGTGCTTCTCTCTCAACGAGATCACCGGAGCATGGCGTTGGATCTTGGAGGGAATAAAAAGAAGCCAAATGATAAGAGTAAATATTCTATAGTAGAATTATCACTGTTTAAGCCTGGCAAAAAAAAGTATCCCGAGTTTGATTACGAAGAAATCAGGAAAAAACAACTGGTTAGTAACTTTTCAAAGTTTTTGGTAGAATTTTTCAGGGTATTTCATGATAAATAACAATATTGCGCATATTCAGAAAGAAGACGACTCCAGCGGTGACGATGAACGGTTCCACGATAGGGAAGCACTTGAGATAGTGAAACGATTAGAAGCCAAATATGTGAGTATCCCGAATATTCTCAAAAGTAGTGATATTTTGACTGTAGTTTGGCTGATGACACAAAAAAATGATTTTTTTCCTTTTTTCTGAATTGTGACGGTAAAGTTTTTGTATTTTCAAGGGCGGCAAAAAGACTAAGAAAGGTCGAAAACTCTGTTTTGGTACCGAGGACGATTACATGGATAAGAGAGCTGGATACGATTTGGAGGACGACTTCATTGATGATTCAGAAGCGGTAAGTATCATTACGACCCGTTAATAGCAGGGATTAGCCCATTTTCCGTATCCCTTCGAATATTGTTCAAATTCAGTACGATGAACTCATTCCTTCCACAATGGACACCGTTCAAGGAGGGTTTTATGTGAATCGTGGGAAATTGGAGTTTAAGACAAGGCATGAAGAAGTGAATGATTCGGATATTTCTGAGGTGGATGACTCTCAACCACAAAAGAAAGGCACAGTGAGTGAATGCTCGATTGTTACCATAAGATTTGGTGTGTTTTGATGTTCCCTTGTTCCAGAAACGGCCACAAGTGTCGAGCGATGACGACGTGGAAGTAATCGAAGACCCTGCTGTAGCACCAACAACCAGCACGAACGTAGCCAAAGCTGTCACTGAGTCTGATGCTCCTGCTCCGGACGCTGTTAAACCTCGAATGGTTGGAGCTCCACCTTCGAAAGTTCGGGTCAGTAGTTTATATTTCGGTACCTATCTCATGTTTATTGTAGTTATTTTAGAGAATGACATTGGGCGAATCTCCTAATCAACGTGCAGCAAATGCCATTAAAAAACGTCTTGTGGGAATGCCTCCAACATTGTTGAAGAGGAAAGTTCTTCAGACAGCGTAAGTTTAGACTATCTCCGATGTTATATTGCATATAACTCTCGCTTTCATGATTGCAGTGTGGCTCGCAAAGAGAATGAGATGAGCGATTTCCTTCGAAACATGTCAGGTGGATCTATACCTTCACCCGGTGAAGATCTCGAGCTGATCGCCTCTACATCCACCCAGCCCGCAGTTAAGAATAAGGTATGTTCAAAGGCTTTCCCACGGAAATGGTACAGCTTGAGCAGCCGTGAGTCTGATAGTTTTGAGGTTAATCTCCAAACTTTTTCTTTAAACTGTTCAGTGTCACTACCCCTTACTACAAGATTTTTATAGCCTAATAACGCAAAATCGTTATCTGAAACAGTTGTGGTAATGAACTGCCAATGGTTTCCGAAAGAGTGTCATAGCTGTGTATTCCTTTGTCTGTGTTCATTGTCTATATTGTGTGAAGTGGTGAAATGGTGAAACCTAAGGGCACTTACGGCTAATACTGGTGCTCTTTTGATCGAGTTCAAGCCCTCAGTTGTGATGGAGAGGCTAAAAATTCATCCTGGTGACGGGGGAATTGTGTATGCAAACGAAATTGTCATAATTGAGCTGCTATTTGCTCCTCTTTAAGCCCTTTTCATCCTTTTCCCCCTTATTTTATGGTTGGATGATGGGTACAATTTCCGCGATACCACGCTTGGTCTTATATTTGAAGCGTTTACAACGTTTACGTTCAATTCCACATTTTTGTCAAACTTTCAAACAACGAGGGTTCACATCAATAGCACATCACTCGGGATTGCTGGCTAAAATGCAAGATAATACTTTTTATATTATGCCATACTACTGATAAGAACACTACATTACTAACGAGCACTCGCTAAGCGTGATGTCTGGACTATTCTCAGTGACTTTTAAACTAATGCACCTTGACCAGTTCCAGTAGATGTCTCCTAAACAGAAATATACCTAGGTATGCAGCAAAGTGATCCTGTCCCTTCGGGAGACTGAAATATCTCCGCTATCAATCGAATTCATGTCTGATGCTGGTTTTCCTGGAAAATCTTCTGCATGCATCTACACCCCAACTGCTGTTTCTTCGACTTTTCTTTTTTTTCTCACTACTTTCTCTGTTTCCTACATGATCACTAACAACACCAAGGTTTACCAGTTTTATTGTATGGGATTCCGTGTAGTGCACCATCGGGCCTTAAAAGACACTTCACCGCAAAGTAGCTTATCGATAATCTCCGTTTTCTCGTGGAGAAGAAAAGAAAAGCTTGGCATTATCAGCGATCAACTACAACCTAAAATCAGGCTTAGCCTGCCTTGGCACTGTTCAAAGAAATAATCTCCCCAACAGTTCCACAGCATATTCAAAAAGCAGTAGTGGACCTTGTGGTTACGGAGCAAGACTCTTTTTAGCGAATCAGTCTCTCTTGCAATGACTTTGCTGCCTTATGTATTGGCTTTCGAGTTTTATCTAAATCCAGTTCATGATTGCAGACTCCAGAGAAAACATCGACGGAACCTACCTCAACACCGGCCACGTCAAATGTTCTTTTCCCCGAGTTTGTTCCCCAGAATACGTCTGAACCATCTAGTTCCGAGCCAAGCGCTAGCACAGTGGCTGTGCCATCATCTCCGGTACAACTTCAGATTTTCAGACATTCAATCAATATGCCGTTTCTTGCATTGTTTTCAGCAGAAAAAGCGTCCTCTGGCTCCTATGACTGACACATTGTCTAGTATGATAGAGGAGTTCAAACGATGTACAAATAACCTTGCGCTCCCTGGCCAAAAGAAGCGACTCCAGAATATTCATGTGGACATGGTCATCGCGTACGTTTGCTTGATTCAGCAGCACAGCTTCTTTTTTCTTTCTTTTTTCTCATAGAGATTGAAAACCATGGAGTCCACTTCAGAATAGAAGAGCAATGTCTCAAAGATGGCTACTCTGTCCACGAAAAAGCTCGAGTCGCACACTCGCTCGCGGATTACTGCGGTATACAGAAAAACTCGTTATACGCCCGTTGTATAAAGCGGAGAGATGTCAGTTTCAAAAGCTCTTTATATGTATTTTATAGAAAATGATTATTCTTCTGTTAAGGAACATAAGAATGGTGCTCCAAACTTGGCGTTTTTGGCGAAGTCAACCGGTGGAACATTCTCAAACACCGCTGCTCCAACAACTGCTTTCAACAAGACCACCCCTACACCTATAGCTACACCTAGTGCGAGCAAACCTACGAGTTCAGCAGTTCCAGCACCCACTCCAAGTAAAAGCACACCTACACCAGCAACGGTACCAGTTGTGCCATCCCCTCTGAAATCGACGGTGAGCAATTTTATCTCCTCCATGTTTTCTTATTTTGCCTTGTTGAAATGAGAGAATTTCGATCAAATTGGAAGAGCAGTTATTCAAATGTTAGGTAGTTTTGAAGTCGTAATTAGAATAGTAAATACCCAGGCTTGCATTTAAGTCTTGAAAGTCATCCAGTCCAACCAAGTGTTTAAAACGAATCTCATTAGTGAAAGCGAAATGATTCTTGGATCGGCGCCTTTATTTGAATCTAATTTGAGTGCAGTGAAATTTTATCGTACACGCTATTAATTTTTTAATTTCTTGAACTGAATTCAAGCCGCAGCTGGTTTCGATAATAGAACGCGGTGGCGATGCTTGTTTTTGTTGACTGACGCACCGTCTTTGGTAGTTCGCTGTAAAGTATCGAAAAATGCATGCAACGTAATATTCCTAGGTTCCGATGGAGAAATGACGATGTGGTCTGATGATATATTTATAGCATTGTCTTTAATTACGTTACGGTTACAAGTAGCAAAGTAAAAGAAATTCTTCGTACTAATACGAGACCTAATTTCCAACTTTTTAGCTAACTCTACGATGCGTACTTGATTGCCCAAGTGGGGTGAGATGTTCTAAGAGGAGGGTTCACTCAATATATTCAAGTACCCTCATGATCACAGGTGAAACTGTGCTATTTTGCCTACGGGAAGGTCGTCAAAGCATGTAGCACCTGGTCTAGTTTGTAGGCAATTCTCATCAGTTAAGAGAGCAAATATATTGAAAAGATGAATTGACTTTTTTCTCTTCTCTTATTAATCGGATGAACCGTAGCAGATGGAACTGCTGCTTTCTCTTCTTTTAATTGTGCTCATGAATAATTTGATTATTTTTTTACCCAGAATGGCTTCTAAAGAAACTTATTTAGTCTGTACAACCAGCAGCTACCACTGTTCCCACGACTACTTCGGCGCCGTTTGCAGCCAAAATATCCACAGCCAGTACTGCCTCTGCAGCATCTACTTCTGGAACAGTACATACTAATGCGGCGTCGGCTGCAAATTCTACACCGAAATCAAGCCAGCCATGGACAAATCAGAAGAAACTGGTACGTGCTCTCACTTATAGTTGTATCGCCCTAAGATTTCTGATATGAATGCAATTCCTCCTGCTATGAAAGCTTTCGATTAGTGTTTGCAAGCGTCTAATATGTAACCTGTGACGGCCCAATTTTCGGAAGAGTTTTCAAATAAGAATAAGGTAAATGAGCTCTTTATGTTTAAGTCATCCGCTGTTCATAAGAAAAGTAGCACCACTTTAAGAAAGCTCTGTGGTGAACCCTAAAACCCTGTGCCCTAAAAGCCCTGTACCCAGTCTGCCAGGCTCTGTAAGAAACTTCACATTCGGCACTAGACGGGGTGATGTGAGAGAGAAATAACGTAAGTTGTTGTTGAGTTTGAAGACTTCGACGATTTGATCAGTAAGTAAAAGAAAAAGAGGAAGGATGATAAACTGGTCGTAAACAGCTCCGTCGCGACCTACTTTTACAGCAACGTAACGATCAAAAAATGTTAATCATCACTTCATCTCTTTCTAAGGAAGATGGCTGACGCGGTTAGGGGAAAAGTAATCTAAGGTTTTTTACTCCAAGGTCTGGACTTGACTTGAGAGATAGGAATAACGCTAACCCATTTATCATGTTCAAAAGCTGCATCAATGTGATGGCTACAATATAGCTGAACCTCTTGTCTCCAAACTGGATTGATCCGATTCTTGAAATTAATCTTTACCGTTCGGTGAAAACAATTACTGTGACAATTACTGCTAACTTATCTAGAATGGCTAAATTGCCTTAAAGGTTACAACCAATCAGAACTTATTGTTTCCGCGAATGCATTAAAGTTCATGAAAGAACAACATTAAGACTACTGTACGGAATGGTATAAAAGGAAAACAATGGGAAGAGGTGATTGCTGATTTCTTTTGGCGCACTGGTCGTAGTATGATGCGAAATGTTTTTAATTTTACGTCTCCTACGATCAACATGATTGCTTATCTTCCTTCGGTAAATTGTAAGGTGATACTAACAGGCTAGTGCTAGACCACCTAAAAGGTTTGTTACTCTTTAATGAGAATGCCGTAAGCCATCAGCTCAGGATTTCGCTTTATTCAATGAGGAAATGAGCTGAGTGATGAGTTGTGTCAAGGGTATAGGTATAGTGAAACGAGTGGTTTAGTATTTAAGAACTTCAAAAGTACATAATTTACCTTTCCAAGTGTTCCACCGCTCGGTTCGTCTGGTGCCTAGCCTAGGGTGTCAGGGACGCAGAGGATTATCCAGTAACCTTAAGAAGTTGGCATTATTGCTGTTGAAAAACGTATTGTAAAGGGTCAAACTGAGTGAGATGTTGATTATCAGTGCCATATCTTACTTCTCATCTCTTATCCGTCCCCACATGAATTCCTAAGTTCACCTCATACCCGTTGAGACCACCTATGAAGGGAACTGGAGGACGAATAATGCTTGGTTTTGTCGCTAATGCCTTCAAGTATTCCTATCTTATTGGGCGTACAGAAAACCTAAAATTTCCAAGTTTTGTTTCATATTTGCTCAGACTCACCACGAATTTTGTGGAAATAATTACAGTATGGGCATGTCTCCAAGCAAAAATATGCTTCCGTCGTAGTAGTAATGTAGAAAAGGTATGTAGCTTGGGTTACATTGCTTCTAACACACGTTTCGATTTTAGGCAGCGCAAGCGATGATCACGAATGTAGCTGGCCTTCCGTCCTTCAGTGGAAGAGTTGGAGAACTACAGGATATACTCAAAAAGGTTGCAACTGAAGCCATCACGTATGAGGATTTCTTAAAATGGCACGACTTGAGGTAAGCGATGTCTCACGGTAGGGAATTTTCCAGGCTTCATCGACCGATTTACAGCATGAAACCAGCTTCATCGAAATTGCCATCTGAAAACAAGGGCGTGAACGGAGTAGCAAAACAGGGCCAGTCCGCTTCTACCTCTAATAAAGCAGTCAATCAAAAAACGGATTCGCCACATGAGACTTCGGGTATAACACAGGTAATATGTTGGCATGGATACGGCCTCTTTGTCTTCCTTTTATAATACCGATTAGGACATTTTCAACTATTTTCAGTCCAAAAATCCACCAACATCGACGCTAGAACCAGTAAAACGAATGACCCTTGCTCAAGCAATGGCCACCTCAAAATTACCACCTCGTATGCGTCCTCTGACCCTGACCAGTGCTCAAATATCGGAGAAATTCGAAGCTGAAAAGCAGATAACTATCAGAGGTCAGGTTCCATCTTTTTGTCTCCTTCATCATGAGTGCATTCGATTTCATCCTCAGTCAAAGCATCATCATAATTTTGTCATCACTATCATTGAAACCTATAAATGAAGCAGTACTCCTCACCAATTGTAAGGACGAGCACTCAGGTGTTGGTTGCTGTACTTCGGAGATCACGAATTTTTGACCAAATTCATAGATCGCTTTTAGCGGATTATAAATATAATCGGCTTGTTGACCTCTCGTTGTCAAGTGCATCAACAGTTCATTTTACCAAGATTCTTATGAGTAAACCTTTTTGATCCGTTCCTTTTATGCTGAAGGAATACTGGTCCTAGCTTCTCTTTCTGCGTTATTCACATTCCTTGCTTTACGTGTTTCCTGTCTTCCTCTTTCATCGCTTTTCCATCGCTATCTGAAAGTTAAGTAGTGCTTGTGTTGTTATTGGAAG